TTAAAAACAGTGCCAAAAAGTGAATGAAAAAAGTACTATGACAACTTTTTACCCATCCTTTGCATCATTATACACAAAATTAATTCACACGTGAATTCCAAATCTTGGCTCCAAATTTAAATTTAGAAACATTTTTCCTTCCTAAATCTAAAAGTAGATGACCTACTCCACCCATGTGTACTCCGCATTAGTCTACTCCAACAGGCTTTCTTCTTTAACCTTTCTTCTTTTTGCATTTTCTTCTTTGCCCTTTTTCCTTTTCTTCTTTGCCTCTTAATATTCTTCTTTGACTATTCTCCTTTGCCTTTTCTTCCTTTTCTGTATTCTTTGATGGAAGAATATGAAACATCAAGAAACATGGAAAGAGTAAAGAAAACACACAAACTTTCAGATGAAGACATGGCAAACATCATCCAAACAATGCTACAACACTTAAAGAATTGACAGCCTGCTAGGGGTGTCATGAAAAACCTAGGAAGTCACAACATAAGCTCCAAAACAGTTCAAAGGTTGTGGTGTGAAGCCAAAAAATAGATTCAAGATGGAAAGCCTGTCGCCTTACGCAACAAGATGAAAGGCAAAGTATATGGCAGAGAAAAGATAAACATAAGTGTGGATGAGGTCTCAGGTGTTTCTCCAACCAAAATACGGACTGTAAGGGCATTAGAAAAGGCCATTTCTAGGTCTAAGAGTACTGTTCACAGGCTTGTGAAGTGTGGACAGATAAAGGCTCACACAAATCCAATAAAGCCTCACCTCACAGAAGAGAATAAGGTACGAAGGTTACAGTTTTGCCTAAGCAAACTACTGCATAGTACCTTGACTCATAATGAACTCAAGTTTGAATGTTTCTATGATTATGTGCACATAGATGAGAAGTGGTTTTACTACATGACCCAAACCACTCAAAGAGTCTATGTACATGCACCAGAGGAAATGAACCTACATAGGACTATCCAACCAAAGAAGTTCATAACTAAAATTATGTTCCTTACTGCATCAGCTAGGCCACAATACTCAGGTGAAGTTTCATTTAATGGGAAAATTGGAATTTTCCCATTCATATTCAAAGAGGCAGCGGTAAGAAACAACAGAAACAGACCTAGGGGTACAATGGTTACCAAGCCTATATTATTTGTAACTAAAGCAGTGTATAAGGAATTTTTAATTTCTAAAGTGATCCTTTTAATTAAGGCAAAGTGGCCTAGAGATGGTAGTAGGAGAATATTCATTCAGCAAGACAACGCAAGGCCTCATATTCTTGGAACTGACCTAGATTTTCTAGCAGTAGCAAAAAGTGATGGATTTGATATTGAGTTAACCAATCAACCACCAAACAATCCTAACCTCAATGTTCTAGATTTGGGTTACTTTAGGGCTATTCAAGCACTACAACAAGAGAAAAAATGCAAAAAAATTGATGAACTTCTTGAGGCTGTTGTTGAGTCATACTATGAGTTTGACACAAAGCTATCAAATTTTGTATGGCTTAGTCTGCAGTACTGCATGGGGAAGGTGATAAAAGTACATGGGGTAATTAATACAAGATCCCACATGTTGGGAAGAATACACTGCTCAGGCAAGGAGAACTACCCCAGTCAGTAAGCCTTGACACAGAAGCAGTTGCCAAAGCTCAAGAACATTTGTCATTGCAAGAAATTGTTTGGAGAATCTACATGAATGGTAATACAGTTGGACAATTCATGGATGAAGATGATAATGATCCTTAGACATGAACTGCTTTAAAGGGATGAAGTGTGGCCATTTTTTTGGGCAAAAGTAAAAGCTAACTTTCATTACAATTAGAAAGTTTAGAGGGATGAAGTGTTGTAAGTTAGGCCTTACTTTTGTAAAAACAAGTGTAGTGTCAAGAGGGCCTTTTTTGTTATACAGCATATGCAGAAGGTTAGGGGCTTTTTTTTGTTGAAGAACAAGTGTAGTAACTTAGCCGTGGTTTTTTTTTTAAAAGTGTAATATCTGCAGTTGTGGTAAATTGTTCCCTTCTAAGGGCATTTGTGCCAAAAGCAAGTGTAGTAAACTGTTCTTTTCTAAGGCCAACAGAATCCCAAAAACTATTCTCAAAATGTGCAAATGTAGTAAATTGTTTCTTTTTAAGGCCATTTGTGCCAAAAAAACTGTTCAAGAGCAAGTGTAGTAAATTGTTATTTGTGCCAAAAAAAGTGTTCAAGAGCAAGTGTAGTAAATTATTCCTTTCTAAGGCCATTTGTGCCAAAAAAAAAGTGTTTAAGAGCAAGTGTAGTAAATTGTTCCTTTCTAAGGCCATTTCTGCCAAAAACAATTGTTGAAGAGCAAGTGTAGTATACTGTTGGGGACAGGGAAAACCTAGAAAAGCCTTTGCTAAGCACAAACTATCCAAATCTAGAGAAGTCTCTTCAACATTCCCCAATAGGGTGAATGGAGTGACAACAACGCGATTTCTACGCGTTGTACACTATAGCACATTCATCACTGACCACACCCACAAAAAATCACAAAGGGACACAAGAAAAACCAAGTGCAGTCTCTAAAACAAAATTGCAGGGACAAGATTCCAGTCATATTAATACGAAATAGAGTCATCTAGGGACAACATTCCAGGGACATGAACTTCACAGAACATAAATTAAAAAACAGAGTAGTACTTCCCTTGTTAGGCATCCTGATTCTCAGACTTAGGCACAAAGCATACTTTGTCCTCATCATTGTCATCCGGATGAACAAATGGAAGAGCGTGGCATACAACACGGAGTCTCTTCTTTATGCTTGCCATTGACCGGTGCACGGAGGGTGACTGATCAGAAACTTTGACTACCACCACCTTCCCACCATCATGCTCAGATGTTGAATCCCTGCCCCCTTGCTTGAACATCAATGGAAGCTATATGTTTAAAAGTGCCTTTGTAGACAGTGCATGGTACTCAGGTGGAACAGTGAACCTTGGATCAAATTCCTGCTTCGCAGCTTCACTGAATGGTTCATAAGGGGCAACAAATTGAGGGGGCAACGATTCACCATCATGAGACGCATACAGAGACGGATCAGAATCCTTAACTCCGACATCTGGAGTCTCTAGGAGGATTGAGCATAAATCAAAATCAGAGAAAGAGGACTCCATTTCTTTTTCCAAGAAGATCAGATCTAAGCAATATGATGAGAGAGAACGAGACCAGATCTAACCAAGATGATGAAAGAGAACGAGATCCGATCTAAACAAAAATATGAGAAAGAACGAGATGGGATCTAAGGAAGAAGATAGAGAGACACCATGACAAAAATGAGAAAGAACGGAAGGATATAGGAAGATGGGATATTAATTGATGGGTGGGTGGGAATATTAATTGATGGGTGGATAGAGTATATTTATAATGTATACCCCCTCCCCCAACCCCCCTTCCCCTCAACGACATTCTAGCCGTTTTAGGGGTCCCCCCCACTAATGCTTTGTTTTTTTGCGGGTTTGCCAAAGTGCCAGCCAAGGAAAATAATAATAATAATAATAATAATAATAATAATAATAATAATAATAATAATAATAATAATAATAATAATAATAATTGGGTACCAGTACCGGTACCGGAAAACTGGCGCCAGAACCGGTACCGAAAAAATGGCACCGGAACCGGTACCGTGGGGGGCGGTGCCGGTGCTAGTTCCCCGAAAGCGGAGTGGCGGGCCGGTGGCCGATGACGGTGCTGGTACCGGCGGTACCGTCGCTGGTAACCGTACCATACCGGTAGCGTGTTCAGGTCTAGTTCACGGTAATGCCCTTTGGTTTGAACAATGCTCCTGCAGTATTCATGGATCTCATGAATAGTGTATTCCGACCCTATTTGGATCAATTTGTAGTTGTATTCATCGATGATATTCTGGTATACTCGAAGAATCGAGAAGACCATGCAAAACATCTGGAGATAGTACTCCGTGTACTGCGAGAACACAAACTTTATGCAAAGTTGTCCAAGTGTGAATTCTGGCTCGACGAAATCACATTTCTTGGTCATGTGATTTCGAAAGAAGGTGTCAAAGTGGACCCCAGCAAAATATCTGCCATTACCGAATGGAATGTTCTGAGCAATGTTCGTGAAGTGAGAAGTTTTCCGGGATTAGCTGGATACTATCGACGTTTCGTTGAAGACTTTTCCTTGATCGCAACTCCACTAAACAAACTTCTAAGGAAGGACGTAAAATTCACGTGGACCGACGCATGCCAAGAAAGCTTCGAAAAACTCAAGAAATGTCTAACAGAAGCGCCTGTATTGACACAACCAGTACCAGGTATAGACTACACAATCTTTAGACCGAACCTGTCCCTCTCTGGGGTCCTCTCCCAGCTTACCTGGACGTGGGCCCAGCTCTGGGCCCAATACTAGGCTGACATAGGGTTATCCAGGAAAGCTTTGAAAAACTCAAGAAATGTCGAAGCGCCTGTATTGACACAACCAGTACCAGGTATAGACTACACAATCTTTAGACCGAGCCTGTCCTCTCTGGGGTCCTCTCCCAGCTTACCTGGACGTGGGCCCAATACTAGGCTGACATGAGGTTATCCTTCGTCAAAACTATTCCTAGACTCTGTTTGGTACAAAAAATTCAAGTTATGGAATTACAATTGAGGACAATAATTACAATTATGTGGGTTGGTAACACAAATAAATTACAATTAGAGAATTCAATTTCATCCAAATAAATTTTATAAAATTTTAATTTTATTCAAATAATTCCCTCTACCAAACATCCTTATTTTTGTAATGTAATTCTCTATGTGTACCCCAAAATTTGTACCCCGCAGTTTTGCACCAACATTTTGTGTTGGTGTAAAACTAATTTTTGTTAAACGCACCGACATTTGTGTCTGTGTGAATTTTTATTAACGCACCAACACTTGTGTCGATGTAAAACATTGAAATGTTTGTGCGAATCTGTGGTGTACAAATGTGGTATATTTGTTGGTGTAAGTGTAGCATGGTCCTTATCCCAATCATAAGAATCTTTCATGGCTACATGAATGGAGGAGGGGTTTAGCGGGGTTTCTCCTTTCTACCTCTCTCTTATCCACTCGGTCCTTTCTATACTTCCATGGCTTCCACCACTTATCCTCCCTACTCAATAGCTCAGTTACCCAATCCATGGAGAATTCCCCGAATTCCCCTATTAAATAGTAATAATTCGCCCACAAGCTGTACGACTGAACTCAATGTTTCGCAAAACCCACAAATTCTTAGCATTCACACTCTCAAACGAGCTAAACCTCTTCGTCCCTACGCGGTTTCTGTATCTACAGAGGAAAAATTGGCTCAAACCCATGATGACACTTCACATTTGGGACCCAATGGTTCGATCAAGATTCCTGAAGAGGAGCAGACCAGAAGAATTATTGTTCAGGACCCAAATGGGGTTTCTTCCATTTTCTTCAAAAACTTGTTCAGTAAAGCCACTGAGATTCGAAGTGCTAAGTTCAGGAATCGAGAGAACGATGGGCAAAAGTACAGATTGTTGAGGAAGAGGCAGGTGATAGCTGAGACCCAGGCTTGGGAGAAGATGGTTGAGGAGTACAGGGAGCTAGAGAGAGAGATGTGTGAGAAGAAATTGGCACCCCATCTCCCTAGAGTGAAGAAACTCTTACTCTGCTGGTTTGAGCCACTGAGAGATGCCATAGAGAAGGAGCAGAAGACTCGGAGGACAATGAAGCACAGGAAAGCTTTCTCCCCGTACATTGACTCTTTGCCTGCTGATAAAATAGCAGTCATTGTGATGCATCAGATGATGGCGATGCTGATGGCGGGTGGAAAAGAGTGTAGGTGTGTTCCGGTGGTCCGAGCTGCAGTGCAGATTGGGAGTGCGATTGAGCAGGAAGTAAGCATTGTGTTTTGACACCCTTACATTCAAATGTTGGTTTATAGTCTTATAGTGTTCGTATCTGTGATGTTTTTTTGGAAGGATAATGAAGCTACTTTGTTAATTATTCTAAGATGTGCTATTAGAAACAAGTACTTTGATTTGATTGCTTATTGAGCCCATCGCAAGTGGAGTTAAAATAGTCATTGTTTACAATGTTTTAGCTTCAAATAAATAATGGATACATTAAACTTCATTCACTTTTTACTCTTTATAAAGTTTTGGATAGTGAATGAAACAATGCATCAAACGTCAACAGAAACAACCTCTTTATTTTTTTTACTAGGGTAAGGCTGCTTGCATCTTTACCCCCATGACCCCAACAGTGCATCAAGGATCTAAGAGACACGGGGGTAAGGCAATGCATATCTTGACCCCCGAGGCCCCAACAGAATTGAGAATTTGGGATTATACTTGATTTTGTTTTTGTTTTTGTTGATTTGATTGCTTATGTTTTTTAGTTAAAAAATGTTTTCTGAGTGGACTATAAAATGAGAAACCTATTAAAAGATACTCATTGACAGACATGCGGGTAAGTTTTTGTGTGCACACACCCTGTCTAGACCTTACTTTTTATGGGGATTTACTGGGTTTTTTGTTGTTATTGTTTTTGTTGATGATGTTGTTGCTGTCATTGGCAGAGTTGGTAGGTATAACACTAGGGGCTGGTGTATCATTTCGCATTCTGGAGTAATGAGTGATTTTTAGGCATATATAAATTTGATTCATACCTTCTTGGTATATAGGAAACAAAGTTTATTTCGGGATGGGAGCATATCTATATAGCAATGTATGTATGTATGTATGCATGCATGCATGTGTAAAGTAAAACAAGCCAAGGATAAGAAAAGAGTCTGGGAAAAACCTTATACCCCTGATTTGGTCTTTATTAATTGATTAATGTTCACAAAACTAGGCTTTCGGTCACCTGTTACCCTATTTATATCGATTTCTATTTGTTCGATAGTTGACATTTGAAACACAGGCTGAATGGCTGATTAGCTCGCACAACAGTAGTTCCAAGCTCCGTGTATGCTTCTTAATTTACATTAGCATTGTCTTGATTCTATTGAATCATCTAATCATGTTGAACTGAGTTACGGGAATTATATTCTTGCAAACTTGCTTTGCATAAGCTGACTATCGATCACGAAATACTTGTGAGTTGCCTGAATTCATGTACTCCCTCCGTTTCTTAAAACACTTCTTCTTTCATTTTTTTTGTTTTCCATAAAACACTTCCACTTTCTATTAAAAAACCCCTTTTATCCCTAGTTTTTCTTACCCTACCTATCACATCATACTTTTTCACTAATAATCTATCCATCACATCTTACTTTTACCCATTACATCAAGGGAAAAATTGGAAAGTCAACCACAAATATACACTCCTTATTTCTCCTAAAAGTCAAAATAGGAATCGTTTTATGAAACGGAGGGAGTAGTAACAATCGAAAGAGACATTTTTATGCATTTGAATTAACTGACATATTTCAGGTTAGAATTCATAGTTACATGGAGAAAGTGATGCAATTTGAGAGACAACCAACGGAATCACCAAATCAAGAGGATCTAAACAAGGATTCAGTGATATTAAGAAAGCGGATGAAATGGTTGATTAAAAAGAACAGACTAGCTGAGTTGAAAAAAATGTTGAAAGATGAAGCATTGGAGCCGTGGAGCCAAGATACAAAGGCTAAGGTTTGCTTTTGCTTGTCTGCTGATTTCAGAATTAAGGATAAATGAGGTCAACTCCAATTGTGAAGTTATTCTTTGGTAATAATATCTCTCCTATCCCATGCAGCTGGGATGCCATCTTATAGAACTAATAACAGAAACAGCTTATGTGCAACCAGAAATCCATCAGTCTGATAGCCCTCCTGATATTCGGCCTGCTTTCAGGCATTTTTTCAAAGTTTCTGCCAAAGATAATGGGTGAGAATTAGTTTTCTTAAAGTACACTGGATGATGAATTAGTCCATTTATAACTTTTTAGTTAGTTATGTATGCTTTGGATTTGAGACCATTTCTTCTTGAATTCTTTCGCTTCAAAGTGAAAGAAAAAGCAATGTACACTGGAAAAAACAATCACAGTTACACACACTGACACACACAGTACTCTTCTTTATGCTGTTAAGAGTAAAAGGCCTTGGGATTGTCACTTAGTAGGTAAGTTTAAGTAAAAATTTGTAAAATCCAACTAATAAATGCCTCTCTTTTGAAATTACACCTCAAAAACTTTGAAAGAACCACCTTTTTTGTCATTTGGTTTGATTGAACCACCAACCGTCTCACCCACTTGAAACAATTGTTGTTAATCCAACTTCACCCCCGGGTCTTCATATATAGTCTTTCTTTTTTCACTTTCTTATCCCATCATAATTAGTGTGTCTAGGCCAAGTTTCTTTACAAAACCTAAATCGAGTTTCTTAGCAATTCGTATTCTGCCTCAAGATCAACTTGAAGGACTCTTTAGCCGTTGAAAAGGGTAGATCGATTGCTTGTGTTTATAAGTTTATTAGTTGGGTGTGAGGACTAAGGGGTAAAATTGGAATCACTGTAATTGTTTCTAGTGGGTGAGATGGTTTGGCGGTTTAATACCACTAAATGTTAAAGAATAAGTGGTTTGCTTTATTATTATTATTATTATTATTATTATTATTATTATTATTCTTGTTGTCGTTGTTGTTATTGTTGTTATTAATGATAATATTATTATTGTTATTATTATTATTATCATTATTATCATTATTATCATTATTATCATTATCATCATTATTATTATTATTATTATTATTATTATTATTATTACTCCCTTCGTCCCAGTGTATTTTTCTTGTTTGACTTTTTCGAGTCAAACATGATGAACTTTGAGCTTCAATTAAACAAAGATTTTAATGAATATTAGTAAAAAAAATATTTTATTACATTAATCTAGTTGGAAACTTTCAAAATTTTATTTCATGGTCTAATATGCTATAGAAATTGAAAGTAATTGAAGCTCAAATTTTGTCGAGTTTGACTCTAAAAAATCAAATCGGACAAATACACTGTGACGGAGGTAGTATTATTTTAGGGTGTTATATCAATGTGAGGCATTTATTAGGTGGTTTTTATCAATATTTGCTATATTTAATTTTTATTTTAGCCTACGTATTCAAATTTGGTTTAATTAATTAGTGTACTTTGGTCTTTGTAGGAAGAATGCTGTGAAAAAGTATGGTGTTATAGAATGTGATCCCCTGGTTGTTGCTGGACCTGATATGGTAAGTAATTTAACATTTTATTATGTTTTCTTATTTTACTACTCATGTCCAATATAATCTAGTCTAAAAACATTATGTCAACTTAAGAAATATTAGTCTTGTTTTTGATATAGTCATGCTCAAAGTATGAACTTTTTTTCTTCCTTGTGTGGTTGTATGAGTCTATGAAAGTCTTCGGACTCCTACTAATTAGACATTTAGGGTCTAAGCATTTTAGAAATTAAAATGCTAAATATGAATATATTATTTATGAATATATATGATGCTTGTTTTTTTGTGTCAAGGAACCAACTCAACCAAAAGCTCAAGGTTGTAGTTGTGGCTCAAGAAAGGCTTTTATACTCTAAGATGCCCTCTCACGTGCACGCATGGCCATTTTGAGCCTTGCACATGAAACCTTAAACTTTTTTACACTGGGCGGCGATGAGGTTTGAAATCGTGACCTCTTGGTCAAGAAGGTTCTAATACCATGTCAATGAACCAACTCAACCAAAAGCTCAAGCTTGTGGTTGTGGCCCATGTGGTTGTGGCCCAGGAAGGGCTTGGCTTTTATACTCTAACAGTTTTTTTTTGTTTTTACATTACTTGTTTTATTTGTTCATTTTCTTATTGATTGATTTGCTCCATCCTTCCTAAAATTATCTTCCCATGTGAAAATGGCAAGGAGATTAAGAGTGAAGAGAAAATTATATAAGTTCCTTAATGCCCATGCCTACTTTTTTGGGTTTGGTAAAAGTGAAGTTAAAAGTAGTAACTATGTAGGTTGTGTGTAAAAGTATGCCGAAAAAAATAGGAAGTTGGTTTTGGGACAACCGAAAAACGGAAAGTGGTTTATTTATTTACTTATTTTTCTGGTTTACTTCTGTTTTTGGTTAACAACAATTGAGGTTTGTGCAGGTTAAGCACATGATGATTCCTTATATACCTATGTTGGTGCCACCAAAGAAATGGAAAGGGTGAGATACTAAATTATCTTGAAAATATCACTCAGTCCCCTGAGGATTTGTCTTACATATTGCATTTGAAAAATTGAAACCCATGAAAGAGAAGTGTTTTCCCATCAACAACGATTGTACTTAAATTAAATTGTTTTTGAATAATGTTAGTTTTAGGGGCATATGGGAATGGTATAATATTAAGTTAATGGGATATTTTCTCTTGGAAGTGTTTCCCTAATTCCCTAAAAGTAAAAAACATCGATCTGAAATTGTGAGAGGTATAATGGAAATGAATATGTACTATGGACACTCTAAAATAGAAAAAAAAAACAATATATACCCAGTGTGTGCAGCGGTGTAGGCATAATGATTTAAGGATGCCTTATGTCCATGCTTTTACTGGCTTAAACCTAAGGGTTCAAAATAAATAATCCATAAGTTAACACCTGGGAATTATGTCTTCACACTTTTTTGGCTGTCTGATTTCAGTTCTTTAAGGATTCCATTCTAAATAAAGTTATCACATGGCAATAGCCTCTCTTAAGTCAAGGGTATCATTTGCTTTGTTCAAGGACCAGTAAACATTTTATCCTTTTCTATTGTTCCCTTTTTAAAATCAGGTTTGACAAAGGTGGGTACTTGTTCTTACCGTCATATGTGATACGTACTCACGGAAGTTGGCATCATCGAATTGTTCTTCGAAATGCTCCAACGAAACACATGGAAAAAGTATATGAGGTGAGGGGTTGATTTCACATTTTTTAATGCTTCTGTATTTGTTTCAACTTTCAAAAGTTTTGATGCTGAATGATATTAAGAGTTATATCTAGACTTTAGGTCTCTCTTCTTGAATAAAATAAAACTATTTTTTTTCTCCATACATTTATCCTCTGTTATTTAAAACAGGTAAGCTTCCATAAAACAAGCTTTAGGGTAATACCCCCAGACCTCATTTGTGGGTAGGTTGTTGTGGTTGTAAGCTTTAGGGTAACACATCTTTGTAAGTCAGGTGTAGCAAGTCTTCAATGTCTTCTGTTTTTGACTTCTTAGGGACTGCTCTTTTCCTGTAAGTAGAATTAGTATGGGACTGCTCTATTCCTGTAAGTAGAATTAGTATGGGACTGCTCTTTTCCTGTAAGTAGAATTAGTATGGCAGTGGGAATATTTTATTTCTGTCTATAGACTGTAAAACTATTATTTGGAAAGCAATTAAGGATGTAAAGTTACCATTAGCAACAGTTCACACGACATAAAATGATAAATATATTGGTTTCCTTGTTTACTTATAATATACTAGGTGCTGCACCAATGTCCTCAAGATGTCTCCGAAGAATGCAATATGAAATTGTTCTAAGATGCTTTTTGGCAATTACAGGCTCTAAATACTTTAGGCAACACAAAATGGAGAATAAATAAAAGAATACTAAGTGTGGCAGAGAGTATTTGGGCCGGTGGTGGCAATATGGCTGGCCTCGTGGATTGCAATGATGTAAGTAACTAAACTTATCTGGTGCTCACAATTAAGGACATGAGTTTATACTTTATATGTGGTCGTGTGCCTGCATTTATTTTTTTATATATAAAAAACAATTAAGGAAGTGAAATATTAGAGTTGAAGTTTTTTTTATGTGTACTGTGCATCAAAGGAAAAGAAAACGTATTCTGCTTTTCGTCATCATATCTCTTCAAATTTAAAGAGAAACCCATGTTTGATCCTTTAATGAAGTAAGAAATGCATGCAGTGTAATGCTACCTAGATGAAAATATCACATCCAAATTGGGGAAATATTGCTTTCCCTTCAATGGCTAGATGGTATGAGATTTTGTAGACAATTGAGTTCAAACAGGGTGGCACTATGGCTTCATTGCTACACAATTTCAAAAATTATCTTGTGAGGTAACACGGGGAGGTAGCAATTAGCAATGCGAGGTAGCAATATTGTTAATTAAATGTCTAGAGATATGTAAAGACTTCTAGAATCAGATTGTATATCTATAAGCTCATTAATTCAATCATTTATCAGGTCATCACTTTGCTCATCAATTAGCCATAAATATGGTTTTTTTGTAACAACCAAAATTTAACATATATAATCCAAATCTCTCTTTTTCATGTGGTATCTCAGTCTCAGAGTCATCTCTTTGAAAAGTTGTCTCACCTTAGGCAAGCTCCGTTAATCTTCACCATTTGTTTGGCCACATTTTTGCATCACCATTTCCCGGTATTGATTTCATGTACCTACTGCCACCATCATCTCCGTTCCTACGCAAAATATTACAAATCGCAGACGTGACCCATGGTTCGAAATCGCCCCATGTGCTGCCTTACGACCGAGTTCCTTTGGTCAATTCACCAAGACACCACCCACATCATCCCCTTCCTCTTTCTCCAACAATCAACATTTTTTTTCTCCGCATGGGAAATGTCATAAAACGAGTTGAGATATTTGTGATGGTCATGTTCCATTACAAGATTGATTTTGTAAATCAGCATTAAAATCGTGAAAGATGACAATTGAAAAATATTCTAACTGCTATGCTCTTTCTAGCTTGCTTCATTTGTAGAGTGATACTTTATTTGTAGGTTCCCATACCAGAGCTTGACTCTAATGATATTGAAGAACTGAAAAGTTGGAAATGGCGTGTGATGAAAGCAAAAAGAGTTAACCGAGAGAGGCAATCATTAAGATGTGATATTGAGTTGAAATTTTCTGTAAGAGTTTTTCTTTTGGATTTAAGAAGTGGTTCATTTGATATTCTTTTGAAGAAAGAAAGATTATGATTGTTAACTAATTTGTGAAACAAGTGCATGACATGTTATTGCCCAGGCACCCGGTGCTCTCAAAACTAGGACTAGATCCTCTATACATCATGATATGATAGATATTGTTCTGTTGGCAGAGAAGCATTTAGCGAAACTGCGTGGATTTCTTTTGATTAGGTGGCTCGGAAATTGAAAGATGAGGAAGGCTTCTATTATCCTCACAATCTGGATTTTAGAGGGCGTGCATACCCTATGCATCCACACTTAAACCACTTGAATTCTGATCTCTGCCGAGGAATCCTTGAATTTGCTGAAGGACGACCTCTAGGAAAGTCTGGATTACGCTGGCTGAAGATTCATTTAGCAAATCTTTTTGCAGGAGGTATTGAAAAGCTTGCGTATGATGCACGCCTGGCATTCGTCGAAAATCACATTGATGATATACTAGATTCAGCCCAATATCCTCACACTGGAAATCGTTGGTGGTTAAAAGCTGAAGATCCATTTCAGTGCTTAGCTGCTTGTATTAATCTATCAGAAGCTTTGCGAAGCCCATCACCACACACTGTCATCTCCCACTTGCCAATTCATCAGGTAAGAATCTTATCTTGTTGTCCAAGACTGCTCTAGGTCAGACGGGGCTTGGATGCAACTTGTCTCACTTTTCCCCCAAGAATATTTGTTTTATATGTAAAACAAGTATTCCTTCATCCCACGAAAAACTTTACTCATTCCTTAAATGGCAGTGTCAAAACAAATGTGACCCTTTTTTAATCCTTTTTGGTAAACTCTTTACATTTAAATATTACATTTCACATTTCTCTACATCATACTACCTTCGTCCCAGTGTATTTGTCCAGTTAGACTTTTTCGAGTCAAATTGGGCAAACTTTGAGCTTCAATTTCTCTTCGTTGAAACAAGTGGGATTACTCGAGCTGGGGGTCTCTTGAAAACAACCTCTCTACTTCTGAGTAGGGTAAGGTCTGCATACACACATCCTCCCTAGAGTCTACCTCCGTGGGATTCTACTGGGTTGTCGTTGTTGTTGTTGTGAAGCTCAAAGTTCATCCAATTTGACTTGAAAAAGTCAAATTGGACAAACACACTGGGACAGAAGGAGTATTAATTACTTCCTCAAAAGCAAATCTCACTTATCTAATTAACTAGCAATGTAAATATTACACTTTACCTATTATCTCTCGGTTTTACTTTTTTCCAGATAACCAAACCCAAAGCAACCACAAGTTTATTATTGGGACAAAAAGTATATTTATTTTGCATGTCCACAGTGCATTAATCTCATAAATGATAGTTCTTTTTTTTATACTTTTTTTGTTGAAGTTCATCTATTCCTCTGAGGTTTGATAGACATAAATTCACTATAATATTCAATTAAATAGAGCTGTTTTGGCTAATAATCATTTATGGTCTTGTCATGTCAAGGGAAGGTCTTAGACATGAGTTGCTTAGTTTGCAAACATCACCAATAATGAAGTGGTTTTCCTTTGGAAATACAAAACGAATAGTTTTGCTTTTTTTATAACAAATCAAGCTGCCGAAAACGCTATGACACGTAAGTTTTCCCAGAAACCTCACCATTACTACATAGCTTGAGCTCGCCATAGCATAGAAACTTATCTCAACCTTTCCATTAACTTTGGTTTTCCCTTTAATTTTTGAAAGGTGGTACCTTGTAGAGTTGTTATTGTTTTTGTTATTGTTGTTGTTATCATTGTCTCTTCTTCCTTGTCCTCATCCTCCTCGTTGTTGTTGTGGTCTATTTCAATTGCATATTGCCCTTTTTCCAGGTTTTAGAATTAGTTCTTTTAAAATGCATTTGTAACCTCATTTTTTTTGCTAGGACGGTTCATGCAATGGCCTACAACACTATGCGGCATTGGGAAAAAATAGTGTATGTAATTTAATCTTTTTATTCCTTTTATATTCTGTTATAATTTCTTTTTGGGTGATGCTAAATCCACCCCCTAAATGGCTATTCCCACACTAATATCAAACTTATATTAATTAGCGTGGATTTAGTAAATTTAGGTGAAATGTGGATATACATTTCCATTCCCCTCTGGAGCCAAAGATTCACTATTTTTTGGCTTTGGGGTATGATGGAATAAAGCAAATTGACTCTTTATACTGTCTGTGCTTCTTGCAATTGTGAAGTAGCCGTTAGTCAATGCAACTTTCGACGCTCATCATGGGTCATCTGGAAACAGCCGCTCTATGTTTTAAACATAGGGGTCAGACTGCGTACACCGACCCCCCTTACCCTGCAATGGGCAAGAGCCGTTGAGGCACTGGGGTAATGTTGTTGTTGTTAGGTGAAATGTGGATATAGTCATTTAGGGGGTGAATCTAGCAACAACCTTTACTTTTTGTGTGGTTGTTTGATTATGTGGGGATGGGGAGTGATAGGAGCCAAAATAGGAGGGGAGGATAATTCATTATTGATTCAGGAAATCAGAATTATTAAGCTCACAAAATAATAATGATGAAGATAAATCTTTGTTAGGGGATAAGCAAGTATCTTGAACTCATCCCACCAAGGGCATTTTTGGTGAGTTTTGGATGGTTAATACTTGATATAATTTGGGTTCTGAAATGTGGAAGAAATGATATGTGTTTTGAAAACTAAAATGAAATTGTTTGGGGAGATCTAAAATAGTGGTTGTAGTCATACGTGGTTGGTCGGCTATGAGGATGACATGCAACAGTCCGTAGTTGACCAGAAATGGTGGGTGGTCAGCGGTGGGTGGGTGACTGGCGATGGGTGGCCAAGGACGGTGGGCCAGAGGGGGTTGGACAACAGTGGGTTGCCAACAGTTGAGGGAGATATTGAACATCTCCCAAATTTAGGAGATATCAGATGTCAAATCTGAACCCTGTTTAGGCTTCACTAAACACCCTTTAAAAGGATATGATACTCAGAGATATCAAAACTCATATGTCCTGCGCTCACCAAACGGGTCATAATAAAGTCAATAATAGTTCTCTATTAAGATAGAGAAACGCAAGAATCTCACTCTACTTATATCAATAGCCCACAACTCCACGAGAGGAGAATCTCCAATTGGATTAAACAATAAATTTATTTCTTAAGCCATGTTTTACTTCTCATTTGGCTGAACTACTTATAAAGGTTGGAATACATTTTGAGTAAAAAAGTAAAACCTAGATAATTCCCTTTGATGACATAGATCATGGAATTTGACTCCCTAAAAAAACTCCTTAAACTACCCTAATCCATAAGACCATAACTTAGATAATTTGAATAACTACCTAAAAAGTAAAGGTGAATTTACTTAAATAACACTAAAACATAATGACTTTCCTAAATGGCATCACATATGTTTTTTTCCCAATGTAGCACTTTTAGTCATTATGCATTAGTCATTATTCAAGTAAATATTTGCCATTACTGGACATTACGGACATTATTAAGTGCTATTTAGAGAATAAAATAGTTTAAGTGCTATTTAGGGAAGTGACTTAAGTTTTAGTGCTATTTAGTGCAAATATTTCAAAAGTAAATAGGTACAATTATCAATTAAATCCTAACAAACAGAAAATATCTAAAATAAACTAAATGAACATAATTCTTAGCATTTCTCTAATTTTTCCAAATTATCCATTATCTCATTCATTGGCATTCCATCACGAACAATGCTATTTGTCTCTCTCCATGACATTGTCTTTTCTAATAGTCATCCTTCCTACGCTCATAGCATTTGATTGCATTCTGTTGGATTATTTTAACAGAGGGAAGCCGCAGCTGTCAACTTAGTTGCTGGAGAGAAACCCGCTGATGTTTATTCTGAAATTGCTCGAAGGTATGTCATTACCATTGAATTATTTAGATACTCTCTTTTCTAGCAGAAGTTGTTGTTTTGAACTTTTTGAAAGTTTTTGAGATAACATGAGTTAAGCTTTTAATCAGAATTAAGTGAAGTTCAATGCTATGTTAGCTTATTCGGATACGGGTGTAATAAGTCATTTGTACTTTTGTGTACGTTACTCATAAAATTTTTAAATACGGCTAATTATATGTTTTATATGTTTGAGTACATATACGGATATGTTCGAGTTTTATACGTTTGATTTTTTAAAAATACGGCTTATAATATATGCACATATTTTTGACAAGAATGAAAGCTTAAAGTTTAAAATTTTAACTTAAAAATGGTATGATTCCAATAGCTACTAAACACAAATATAGAACAAATATACCATAAGAAAGATGCTAAAAACAACCAATACTAAGATCATGTTTGAATGCATCTTAAACTAAATACCAAAATTTATAACCCAAAACAAGTTCCAAAGAAATAGATAGAAAAAGTTCGAACTTAATAGTTTACATGACACACCACCAACCACAATAAGTAAAAAGCTCAATCCAAACTCTTAGCTCTGCATTATCCTGCAACTCTTTGGATTTAGTTAAATAAAAAAAAGCACCATCATCATCAACTAAAGTCACACAAACGTGTGAAAGATAGGTGTTAGGCGTAATTGTGGACTTGTATTCACATCACTCGGTTCACGAAGTGATGTTTCACCACTTCTATGGGCTACAATGCTTCATCTATAAAAGAAGAGGGACATGGTTCATCAATCATCCAAATAATCAGGCCACTCAGCTAACTTGCTCAAATTTATAGGGTTAATTTCAATATGCTTATAAGTATTTCTATGCATAGTTTTATGGAATGGTACTGTTTCAGGATTATAAATCTACAAACATATACTCCGTATAAATGTAATTAGTCTCGAATCTAACCATCTTTCCAAGTTATGATTAAAAAGCATAAAGATAGACCAAATCAATTAGACTAGCCATATAGCATAGTCCGTGTATAACCAAGTTTCTGTTCGAACTTCTAACTTTGAAATACTTGAGGGCTGCTGTTGTGCTGTACTAGTGTACTGCTATAGTCCTATGTACTAGTAATGGAGCTGGATTACTGGACAGCACTTGCAAAGCCAGAATGGGAAGGTTGGAGATTCGGGAGAAGAAAGAACAAGTAAGCCAGATGGTCAGACCTTTTGTGTGTACTGCTGATTGCTGAACCTCCATGCTACAATCTACCGGAGAAGCTGAGAATAGAGGGAAATCAGGAAGAAGATGAGGGATTTGTTGGAGGAAAATGAAAAAATTAGGGCTTTGTTTAACGAGTGATATGCTATAATGGGTTCATGGAGGTGTGCGATCTGAACATCACCCAATGAACTGGGTAAATCAAAAATATGTGTACTAATCCGTATATCAAGCAAAAATATATATATATATGGGAGTATAATATGTGTATTATACGTACTGGTGTTTAATTTTATATGCACATTATACACGAATTTGCCAACAGAGATTCAATGTGCCACAATGGTTTAGTTCATCATTTACCTGAAGCTAATAGATTGTCAATAATGACTCATTTATCTTCATTGGCAACGGACAATAAGGTATATTGACTCCAGAAGCTTTTTTTGTGTGTCTAATATTGGTGAATATGACTGCAGCATGCTGGTAATGTTAAAACTGAATCTTGTTACCTAATAGTTTTACATCTACTGCAATTTTGTTTCTATATAATGATATGATCAGTAAGAGAAGTTTTCCTTTGATTATCAGGGCACATGATATTATAAAAGAAGACAGTCTGCAGGACTCCTCTATTAATCCCAATGCTGTAATTGCCAGATTGATAATTAATCAGGTTTTAATATTATAGTTTCTTGGAAAATGTAGTTTTTAACTTAGTTACTTTGGATTTGAAATGTATCTTCTACACCTATGTTTAATATCAATGGTCTTTTTTAATTGTGAAATGTTCAGGTAGATAGGAAGTTGGTGAAACAGACAGTAATGACTTCTGTGTATGGTGTTACTTTTGCTGGGGCACGTGAGCAGGTCAAAAGAAGGTTAGAGGAGAAAGGTCTTATTACTGATGATAAGATGCTTTTTAGTGCTGCTTGCTATGCTGCTAGGGTAAGAAAGCACCATCTAATTTAGAAATTCATGCTGTGATTATAAGGGAGGTAGATGGACAATCATTGATCTTTTCGCACATTCAATGTATCTTGTTATGCTACTAAGGCCTTGAACGTTGAGGCCTTGTTCTTTTGGGTTGGAAAAATTAACTTCCAACTTTTTCCAGTTTCTTCCAACTCTTTCCGGCTCCTTCCAACTCTATCCAGTTTCTTCCAAAAACGATTTAAAAAAGATATTTATATATGATGAATATACAATAACATTATATATCCAAGTTTATAACATACAACCTCAAACACGAAAAATGATGAATTCTTTTTTATCCAAAATTAGAGTTTTCTTATATATTTATTTGGGTAATCATTTAATTGAGTGACTCTTTAAAACTTAAATTCTTCCAACATTTTCCAACTCCTTCCAGTTTTTTCCAACTCCTTCCAGTTTCTTCCAACATTCAACTCTGAAATTCCAACCCAAAAGAACAGGGCTTGAATATAACAAGTTTTCAGAGAAAAGTTAGAATACTATGAGGGATTTTTGGAAATTAGGGATTAATGTCCAAATATTCACGATCTATAAGTAAATGAAGCACTCCGGTTGAATCATCATCCCTGTAATTAATGGTCTTTGTACTAATCTACAAGTGTACATACTGAGTATACAAATATTTGTAGTATTACCATCGTTTTGTGTAGATTCCCTATATTATGAAATTTCCAATGAACGTGCAAAATATGGGGACATACATATTCTCTCTAGGATGTCTTCTAGTGGTGATTAGTAGAAACACACAGAATGCAAATTAGTTCACTTACAACTGTCAAACTTTTCCCATATATTATGGCCTTATGATATGTCTTTTTACTTGAATAAGCTTCATTTTATGTTGTTGCACTCAATGAATTGCAATACTAGTGGTTGATCTATTGTCACAATAATCTCATGTGTAGATTCTTTGTCTTGCATATTTTACATTATTCTTAGCATAATAGTTCACAAATCCCAAGTGCAATATATCTATTCATTGGATTTGTTCCTCACGCTTGAATTTCCCTATTTTCCCCAACAATTAACACCTCCCCTACATGATTTTCTTGTTTATATTGTTCTCTATGCATACTTTGCTTGTGCCTGTTAATGCATTTCAATGGGGTATCAAGTGTTTTGGAAAGAAACAATTTTCTGCCCTCTAGGGCTCTTTATAAGAGTTGACAACCTTTATCATAAGGTTGTCATAGGAATGGCATCTATCATGAAAGCTTTTACTATGTCTTTTGCATGAGTATAGTGGTATACTCCCTATGTTCCAAAATGAACTTCCCACTCTAAGTTTCCTTCTTTGTTTGTCCTAAGATAAACTTTTCATTTAGTTTAACAAATGTTGAACTGTTCACTTTATTTTTCTCTCGTCTGCATAAATCTCAACCATGCAATTTCAATTTTTTGAGCTTCGTGGAAAAAGGAAATGAGAAGTTTAGTTTGGGCCGAAGAGAGTATTTTAGACAATTGATTGCCATTAGTCTACGCCTCTAGGGGTGGGGGCATATGGGTGTTGAACCCGCGGGTCATAATCAAACCATGTTGTTCACAGCGAGTTAGAGCTGAGTTTAACAACAACAACAACAACAACCCAGTTGAATCCCACTACAGTAGGGTCTGGGGAGGGTGTGTGTACGCAGACCTTGCCCCTACTCGGGAGTAGGGAGGCTGTTTCCAAGAGACCCCCGGCTCAACCTGCACAAAAATATGGAAGGGAACACAGTATAACACGGGTAAAGAGCCAAGTACAAGCAATAGCAAAGAGCTGAGTTCAAAATTTCAAATTTAAAAATGAGTCAAACTTTTAGTAAAATGAGCAGGGCCAGTTCCAAAAACTAAGTATAATTAGGTCGGGTGGATCAATCCATTCTATGTAAAATTGTAAATAGTTAAACTTTATAAATGGACTAGTCCATTAGCGGGTTTAGGCAATTATTTAATTATGGGATTAGCTCACAAATATTATTCTTGTATTTTTCTAAACTTCAATCTTGAGAAACACCCCATAAACAATTTGGTTTTCTACTTGGTAATCGAGAATAAATCTTTAGTCCTCTCCTTGATAATATGACCGCAATATTAGTTGAAACAATGGCTTCATTTCATGGTAGTTAGAATTATGAATAGGAGCTCTTAATCTTTAATTACATATATGATGGCCCAAATTTGCTCTCAAGACAAGGGAGAAAGTCATTTTTAGCCACTAAATTAATAGTGAGTTGTAATGGTTTGTTCTTGTTTTCCAATGTGTTGTACGGATTCTCATGTAATTAGGAATTTAGAATAAAATTTAAGCATTTTCAACTCTTAAATAGTCATTGTCATCTTTGTAATGTTTTTCTTTTCTTTATTTTATTTGTCATGTTTGGCCATAAAGTCCAATAGTACATAGCATTGTAATGGTTTTAGAAACCAAGAATCTTATGAACGATATATAAGTTTTAGAGTTTATCTTTATTTCTTGAAAGACGTCACTTCTTTGAAAATGAATCCTAGGTTGAATTATCTTAAGAATTGGCTTGCTTAAGTGTGCGATTTAGGTTCTAGTTATATAATCAGGTGTAAATTCTAGAATAGCCCTAAGTGAGATTTATTGTGTCCCCTTTGAATCTACTTTTCCATATAAAAAAAAACTAAAAAAACTCTTCCTATTTCAAAATTCCTACTCTCGGTTAATTTCGACTATCTTCTTTTATAAATGTTTCCACTTAGACCCCTCCGTCCCCTACAGGCTACAAAAAATGTACTAGGCAATATGCAATAGCCCAAAGACCAAAACATTCTTGGTATTCTTGAATGTGTGCATTATGAATTATAATTCATTTCTTTGAAACCTTTCTTGAGGAGACATTATATTCTCTATTGCTAGTTTACTTTAGTTTCTTTCCATTCATTTGTCCAATTTTGTAGTTTATAACATCATTTTGGGCTAGGGCTTGTTAACTTGCGGAGTTGGGCCGTATAGAAGGCACGTCCTGACCCGTCCCATATGTTTTAAAACAAGCCGGGGCTGAGTTTCCTAGAAATAGGCTCGTTTGTGCCCAGCCCTTTGACATTATAAATGTCATGCCACCAACGCATACCTAGTTAGGATTAAGGTGATGAATGATAATGAGCTATATGTCTCTTAACTGCTTAACAGGTGACATTATCTGCTCTTGGGGAGATATTTCAAGATGCACGCCAAATAATGAATTGGCTTGGAGATTGTGCAAAGGTTTGTGATGTGGGGTTGTTAAGTAGTTGTGGAATCCTTTGACTTGAAATACAATTGTTGAGTGGTCAAAACATGACAGGTGATTGCTTCGCAAAATCAACCTGTTCGCTGGACAACTCCACTTGGTCTTCCAGTGGTGCAACCATATTATAAGAGTCAAAGGCATGTGGTAAGTACTTTAGATATACATTTGACATTCAAACACCAGGTTTTCTATTTACGCTGGATCTATGTGAAAATCTTTTTGAAGTGCATAAATATTGCTTGAAAATGGTGGGAAATGTCTTATCAGGTTGCAGTTACTTTGTAAATTAACCATTTGCAGTATCCACATTGCTTCATTTCACTACGCTTGGATTTTAGAATTTAGAATTTACTGCTCAATGCAATATGTTCTGCTAAGTGCTCAGATATTTAAGGCCATGGTACTCGAAGGACATTTTTTTTAAGTTACACATTGCTGAAAATGCTTGCAGATAAAAACTTCTCTTCAGGAGTTAGCTTTGAAGTGCCGTGTTAACTCCGTAAGTTCTTTGGCTTTTAAATGAAGTTTCCATCTAGTTTCTTGTTTTCCTGGTGTAATTATCTTCTCCTATTAGCATGATCTAGAAACCATAGTAAAATTATAATGCAAACCATTAATTACAAACCATCCTTCTTAGGTTGATGTAAGGAAACAGAGAACTGCTTTTCCTCCAAACTTTGTGCACTCGCTTGATGGTTCACACATGATGATGACTGCCATTGCTTGCAAGAATGCAGGATTGCATTTTGCAGGTCTGTGTGCCCCCTTCTATCCAGTGATTCCAGTCTTTATACATAGCTAAACTCTTCATCCTATATGCAAATCCCGTCATTCTTTCGTTACTTTGTATGATTAAGAAATGTAATACGGAGTTATTATTTTCAAGTGGGATTTGGATCTTGGAAAAACCAAGTTGTTCACTAGTTGTATTTACGAAGTGCCTCAGTCCTAAAATTATAAATCACAGAGCTACCTCAAGAAAAGCATGTAAAGTAAATAATGCCAATGAAACTTTACTAGCGCCCTAAATTCAAATTATTTGAACTTGTGCATCTAATTCAGTATTACAATCTGGAACAAGTGAGCATATATAATACATTTAAGTGGAACAGTAGAAAGCATATGTTTCTAGTTCCATTCTCTAGCTAAGGCTTGAGTCTATGGTTGAAAGGAGTTTCGACTGTATTGCAGGTGTGCATGATTCTTTTTGGACGCATGCTTGCGACATTGACCAGATGAATCAAATACTAAGAGAGAAGTTTGTGGAGCTATACAGTGATCACCCAGTTCTTGAAAATGTAAGCATCTTAGGACATGAGACTTGCTGAATTGGATCGGTTAAAGTGTCCAGTCACATTTTTTTCCAGCTTTTAGCCCGCTAGTTCTTAAAACCATCTGTGTGTGTGTGTGTGGGAGGGGGGGGGGGACTATTGTGGTCCTTTTGAATTGGTGTGCTGTGCTACACCTACATTTATTCCATCCAGTCTAATTCGCTAGGACTTCCTAACATCGTACAGCGCTTAATGCCGGACAAGCATAACAAGAATTACTGCCCAAAACTTCATGGAAATGATGAACCAAGGAATGTTTTAATATACCATTTTGATTACCTGAAGCTTACAGTATGGAAACATGAAATAGGGAAAGATGAATTGGGAAAGAAGAGGGACAATATGAGAGAACATGAAAAGGAAGGGTATAAAAGATGGGGAGTTGAAGTGTAGGATAACATTTAACATCAAGTCATCAATGCCTTCTGTCAACAGAAGTACATTTTATTTTTATTTGCTAAAGGGTCTGACGTAGTTTTAGAATGCATCAGAGAAGGGCTGTCACTATTCACTACATGAATGAATAAGGGATTGCAGCCTTATCTTTCAATTGCTGAATTGCAGCAGTAGTTTATTAAAACTCAATGAAGAGCTCACTGAAGTGTTTGTTTGTTCGATTCCCTCAAATTTTCACTCTGTTTTTTTTTTTAATTCTCTTACAGCTTCTTGAAAGCTTTGAGGCATCATATCCAGCATTAACCTTCCCTCCTCTACCAAAACGAGGCGACTTCGATATGAAAGAAGTTCTAACGTCTCCATATTTCTTCAACTGAAACATTTATTCATTATGCTGAAGCCTTTCTGCAAGCACCCATGGAGCAGTCCCTTTGGTACACATAAATTGTGAAGCCCTGCTGCAAGTCATAGAGCTTCATTTCATCTGTGAACTGGTGAGCTCTTAAACCTGCACATGAACTCCTATTTGGCATGAAAGATCACAATCTTTTTTCTTGTTCATGCTTGAAAGAGTGTGCTGGCTTCCTTGATTGGTGTGCTCATCATATTTAGGCCATGCTCTCTTCACATGATCCGAACGGTTCTGATATTATTGGAATAAGTTCTGATATGATCTGGTCAAATCTGATCTGATTGTAGTTATATTTTAAGCTGGTTCTGATTTGATCTAATCTGATTCCAATAAAAATAAGTTAAGAAAAACATGACCTTGGTATGGCAAAAATGTTCAACAGGAGTTGATACGTATTGCGCTCTATGCACTCGGAAAGCTCTACTCGAGTCAGCTTTGAGATTACAAAAACGGCTGGGGAAAAAAATACGCAGTATATTCCCCTGATGTAGCTACACATTTATATGCTTCAGAAATGCATGTTTGGCACACTCTTTTGGGGATGCATGTAACATTATTGTAATATAGAGAGGGAAAGAATGGGAAGAGACTCTTCTTGAATGATGTAAATGGGCTGGCTGATTCTCTAGCTTTTGTACACATAGTATAAACACTATTGTATGATTTTTCTGGTATAAAATAAAAGAAATATATGGGGTGGCACTTCCAACAATTACTCCCTCCCCCCTCTACAATAAATCTTGCGTCTTAATTTATATCGCCTGTTTCGGTTTATGATGTTTGTCTGAGATTATTTTCAAATCATTTTATATGAAAAATGGTGTAGAATTTAAAAATAAAAATTTCATTTTAAAATATTACTCCTTTTGTCCCATTTTAAATTGACTGTTTTCCTTTTTTCTCTGTCCCAAAATAAGTTGTCTGTTTCTTGTGATCGTAAACTTTTAAGAGTAAAATACCTAAACTACCCTTAAATTAAGTTACTCTTCTCTACCTTATCTTCTCATTCGTCGTCACCTCTCCTAAAAAGTAATGGCAATTTCGGAAAAGTCAACTCTATTTTTTCTCTTCTTTAAATAGGCCCCAAAGTCAAAATAGATGATTTAAAATGAGACTGAGGGAGTACATCAAAAGATCTACAAAGCTAGTGGTGACATGACTATTTTATTTTATCAAATGACTAATGAAAAATAAAGAAAGAAAATGAATCAAATTTGCTCCTGTGAATAGTAAACATATAATTTAATTTGATACGGAAGACTAATATACTTTCCATCCTTTTGAACTTTATTGAAATTAGGGTAGAATATGTTATTGGGACCTCGTAAAATAGACGTGTTTTGCTTTTAGTCCTTATAGAATTTATTTTATTTAAATCGTCCTGCAATATATAAAAGCGTTTGTTTGAGTCCCTAATGGGATACACGTAGAACTAACTGCTACACATTCTTAACAAGAATGCCGAGATACAATAGTGATACCGTATCAAACAAAACCATCATTGTGAACTTACTATTTGTGAACTTGACTCACAAACAAAACCATCACAAATTTACAAATTTACTATTTGTAAACTTCAATAAAAAATGTAGCCTAAAATAATGTTAAAATGAGAATTTACATTTGAAATGGTAAGTTTATGAAATTTGTTACAGTTTTGTCTGTGAACGTAGCATTGCTCATACCAAAAAGATCATCACCTAAACAGTAAATTTCATAAATGATTCTTTATAACAGGTGTTTTTGACATTTAGTTCCCAATTCTAATTACAGTACATTTATGATACTCAATTTTTTTCATGATTAGTCCTTAAGGCCAAATATGGTCAAATATGACTAAATATTTTTTCCCACACACTCCAAAGGACTTGTTGTGTAATAGTTTTTGAAAATTGAGAACCACGAATGCAATAATTTAGAATTGAGGACTAAATATGGAAAACCACGTGTTATAAGGGGTCATTTATGGAATTTACTCTCGCCTATATGGCTATATCACAAAATGTATAAAGTCCTCGTGGAACCGTTTGTTCCATCTCGACTTCCGCTTTCTTGAAACGGTTGATTCTCTCTCAATTTCTTGACCAACCACAATTTGCTTGTTCACAATTCTCCTTGCTGTTTGGTTAGATATTGCTCTTGTTTTACCCCTTGAGCTTCTTCCTATTGTGATTTATTCGATTTTCTACCAACTTTATGAGAGTATTTGGCGAAAGCAGCTGAGAGCGCCGACTTGATCGTTATGTCGGGTTCTTCTTTATCCCGGTGCTTTTTTGCATCTACTTCTTCTGTCTTGTTTTCCTCCATTTCAGTGACTGAACTTGGCCCAATATTTTCATTAGCAGAAGCTTTAGGGACTACATGCTTAGACCCTTCGCGCTGGAAAGGCTCATGGAAAGTGTCGTATAGTCGTTTCACCTGCACATTATAAATTGTCCATGTGGAAAAAACGAGTCATACATCTTACCGAAATCAAGCTCCATCTAAAAGTTTTTTATATTCTTAGCAAACAAACTTGAAATATGGCTTGTTGTTTTGCATTGTGAATTAATTTTTCACAAACAAAACTCGGAGTATCCAACTATTCTCAAATTATATATTCTGACAACAAAACAAGTTAAAGTAGAAAATCATGCTCAAAATTTTGAACAGGCAATGGCTTATATGATACAACAACAACAACCCAGTTAAATCCCACAAGAATAGGGTCTGGGGAGGGTGTGTGTAGGCAGACCTTACCCCTACTTGAAAGTAGAGAGGCTGTTTCCAAAGAGACCCCCGGCTCAACGTCGAAAGTTGCATTGCTTGACTAACTGCTACTTCATAAATTAAAGAAGCGCTGACAGTTTAGAGATCCATTTTGATTTATTCCATCACACGCCAAAGCCAAAAAATGGTGAAATTTTGGCTCCATCGGAGATTATGGAAATGGCTTAAATGGCTTATATGATACTGATATAAATTATTCACTTGAACCCTTTCAAGGAATAAGTTACACCTTACAAAAACATTCATTTTCCAGGGAAAAACAAAACAAAAGGTGAGAAAGAAAGAAACCTTGCGATCTCCTATACCAGGACAACGAGCAAGATCTTCCATGGATGCGTCCATGATGTGAGAGAGAGACTGCAAATGAAGAAACGGTTGGCATTGCAACTAATACTTTCAGAAATATGTGAAATGAAATGCATAAATGATAAGCATACCCCAAACGTAGATCCAAGGGTGACGACATCTGTTTTGTTGACATGCCGAATTGATGAGAGAGCATGATTCAGCTGTAATAAATAAATAAAAAAACACAAAACTTGTGTGAAACCGGCAGTTTTTTTTCTTTCTGAAAAGGCAATATACTTTAAACAAGAATTACTTTTATTTCTGAAAGTAATCAATATTATTTGTAATACTAATAATTTATTTGGCAATGTTTTTTTCTAAAAGATTCCCATAGAAGAAAAGATCAATGCCACACATACCCGAGATAGATAGTCTGTATCCATTTGGCCTTGAATTAAATCAGCAGGCTTGTTTTCATAAACTTTTACTGTCTCTAAGTAGCGTGCACATTCCTCCACACTAATGGAATGAAATAATTCAACATTCTCAGTATCCAAATATGGAAACTTCATTCACCTTAGATATTAAAGAAACTGACAGCATGAAAATTTTTTGTTTTCACACTTTAAAACCAGATGACGAGGACGACAAATACAAGAAAAAGCAACAACATCAACAAAAACCCAGTATAATCCCAACTCCGTTGGCGTCTGGTGAATCAAGATGTACACAATACGACTGTAAAAACAGAAAGGTTGTTTCCATGTGACCCTAGACACATTGCTGCAGTTACTTCCCAGAACTTCATAGAATATAATGAGCAAGGGAAGTCTAATGTGCCATTTTGGTTGTGTCCATTATTTATCCAAACCTAAAGCATTGCCACAAATGATTCATATAGCTCCATCGTCCATTGGTAATGGATTTAAAAAAACAGAGAACACTAGCAAGTTATGACAAAAAAGCATTTCCTAAATACTGAAAAAGTAGAAGAGCAACAAATGCAAGAAACTTCAAGGATGAGTATAGGCATCAGTTGGCTCTAAAGGGCACCTCCAAGCACATAACAGAGTGCAATCATGGAGTAATGCAGTCCTCGTAACTTCAAGTAAAGGCTTAACAACATCTTCCTGGCACCAAAGGCAAAAGTGAGCATCAAATGTTGATAGCCAGCCATATACAGTTTGAAAGAAAAACCATGAAAAGGTCAAATTTGAAAATAGAGGTTAAAACTTACAACATCAACATGACACAAAACAACACGAAGCCTGAAATTATTCTGCAACTCTCTTATCCGAAAATACAAATAGTCTGGATGAAGCAGATGATATCGAAGACTACATGAAGGAGAGAACATGGCTATCAAATCATTTAAACAGGTGCTTGAAGCATATGAATAAAAAAAGCTTAATTATACCAGCTCATTTACCATGCAACTTCAATTGAACTATTATATGCATATAGCCATATAGAAATGCCAAATTTGATAGCTAAACATCATTTTTATACAACTAAAACTCTAACTGTACTGGTATGGAAATATGGTGAATTGGCAAATGGTAAGACAAATGAAATAGTTGGCACTTGTCAGCTCTTGCTCCAACCTAAGATATAGGGCACAAGCATTCTGTCCCAGTAGATAGTCACAAACGATATCTGCAAAAGCCCATCTAACATTCCGTATATGTTTAAGCACAGGGTTTCCCTTCTGCAGGATCACAAAAATAGAAACTGCTGATAAAGTGAGAAACTCATATTTCATGTCCCGCTTGGTTTATTTTTTGCAACATTTAGTGTAAATTACACAAAAAGTTGGCAAAAGTCAGCAAGTAGGGAATATAAAACAAGTGCAATCCAACTTAGTGATTTTCAATCATTTTTATAAATCAAAATGGATAATTACATCTATATAAGTCATTGATGTCCATATAGCAGATGTGCAGTTTACTACTACAAAGCACATCCGGACAGTGCTATGAACAAAACATTTTCTTGTGTATTTTAAGTTCAATTATTGTTAGGTAAAAACAATCACTCTTTCCTGTGACCCAAGCAGCAGTACTAAAAGTCGGCTTAGAGGTGACGGGTGGTGGAGTAATGTGGTTCGCAGTCGGTGGAAGCTAAGAAGGTGGCGTATAAGAGGTACATGGTCTATTGATGAGGATGATAGGGCAGCACTTAGAATGGGGTATAAGATTGCCTGTAAGGAAGCTAAGTTAGAGGTTAATGCAGGTTTTGAACGCCCTTATAAGGATATCGAGGAGCAGGGAGTTGATAAGAGGCTTTTTCGGGTAGCTAAGGCACGAGAGAGGAAGGCCATGGGAACTCCCGTGATCTGTGATTCCATTAGTTTCTTCTAAATGCTATATCATGTACTCTCTCCATCTGAGTTTAGCTGTTCCCATTTTTTAAAAAAATGTCTAAAATTTAAACAAACACTGTAAAAAAACACTCTTCTAGATTAGCTTGTTTGTCAATGACGAGAAAGTTCAAAAGACAACTTTGATAATTTCATAATCCCCGAAAATTTGTTTCATAGATGTACAATTAATTCCTCAGGCACGAAAGGATTCTAACAAACTCCTCTTGTTAAAGCCTTACCTGCCTGTGGCTTACGAGTATAGCATTTCTAGAGGGTGGAGCAGCCGCGGATGATGGTGTTGGTTTTATAGCTGATGAAGAGGGGCCTTCTGAT